TGCTTTTGTTGCGCGACTACAAGCGACGTATAGCTCAGATCTTGTCATCCCCTTTTTCAAATTGACAACAACTTTTTCATAAGTACCACCTTGACTTTTGTATATGGTCATAGCTTCACAAGGAACTACTGGGAACTGTTTACGTTCTACTTTGAAATTTGTTGACCTTGTATTTATTTGTCGTGTCACTGGTTCAATTGGTGTAAGACTAAGATCAATATTTCTATTTCGCATTACATTTTGAAAATTAGATCTGGCTTTTCTTCCAGTTTTCGCTTCATTGAACTTAATCCATAGTCTACACGGAACTATTTCATTAGTCTTTTGAAGCTTCCCATAATCAATCATTATTAATTTTCCACAAGCACCATTCACTAATCCATCTTCAGTATCCATATTGACTGTCATCATATATTTAGCACCCACTTTTAAATCGATTTTAAGTGGTAAGCCGTAAGTTTCAGTTGTTTTGAGATTCTTTACGTTGCTTAATACTTTTTCTTTTATTGATGCAAGTCCATCACCAACACAAAAGTCATAAGCATTTGCAGTTGCACCTTCGGTGTTAAGACTAGCCAATACTTTTGTATTATATGCATCAACTTCAGCATTACTTCTAAATATTCTTATCGCATCTTCAACTGCTTCCAATTTTTCAGTTGAAACAATTCGTGACTTTAATAAATTAATATCTTCAAGTGTCATCATTCCTTTTGCTAGATTACTCAATGCAATAGCAAAAGTCTTATCATCTTTTTGTCTCATTATTTCTGTCAATTCGAACAATTCAAACAGTGACCATAATGGATTATCTACTAAAGCATTGTATGAATTGTTAAACTGAAATATGTATTTATCACCAACTGGTCTTAATTGATTGAAATCGCCCAAAACTATGACTGATACTCCGCCAAATGGTGCTTTTGACTTCATTATTTGCTGCAGGCGAGCATCGACCTGCTGAAACATTGTAAAACCAACCATTGATATTTCGTCTATTATTAGTAATTGTAAGTCTTTTAATTTTACTCCAATTCTATTTGAAATATCACTGTC